TGTATTTTAATATTAATATATACATAATTATATATATAAATATCAAAATACACGTACAATGATATTGATTAAATATATATATATAATTTTCATTTTATATATATATATATATATTTATATATATAATAAAAAATAAATATGTAAATACATTAAAAAATAAAATTAAAAATATATATATATATATACATGTGTAATTTCGTTCTAACTGTATTTTAAAATTAATATATATACATATATATATATATATATATTGATATCAAAATACATGTAGAACGAAATAATATATATATTTATATACATACAACAAGAAAAATAATCCTGCACTCCATATGATTTGAATATACTTGCCCGGTGCTTATCAAGCAAAATATAAAAAAAGGAATCCAGATAGCACTCTCAAGACTGTTAAATAAAGTAAAACTTAGCTTTTAATAAGCTGTCTGAAACGTTGATTCTTTTTTTATCAGCTCATTAACCCCTTAAGGTCTGAGCCAAATGTACACATTATGAACAAAACAAAATGTAAACAAAACCTGGCATTTGCGCTACATGTCTGTCCAACCGTAATTCACCTCTTTCATAGTAAATGCACCCACCCTTATTATATATCATTTTATTCAGGGGAAACAGGGCTTTCATTTAATATCAAATATTTAGCTATGAAACATAATTTAATATGAAACAAATGGGAGAAAATAAGATTTTATTTTATTTTTTAGTTCTACATGACATTTTAACTGTCTGTGTCATAATACTGTTTGCTTTTACCTCAATAAAATACACATATTTGTATTCAGAAAAGTCTCACGTGTAAAACAGTACCCCCTATGTACAGGTTTTATGGCGTTTTGGGAAGTTACAGGGTCAAATATAGCACGTTACATTTGAAATTGAAATTTGCCAGATTAGTTACGTTGCCTTTGGGACTTTATAGTAGCCCAGTAATGAATTTTACACCCATAATGGCATACCATTTGCAATTGTAGACAACCCAAGGTATTGCAAATAGGGTATGTCCAGTATTTTTTAGTAGCCATTTGGTCACAAACACTGGCCAAAGTTAGCGTTAGTATTTGTTTGTGTGTGAAAAATGCAAAAAACGCCAATTTTGGCCAGTGTTTGTGACTAAATGGCTACTAAAAAAGACTGGACATACCCTGTTTGCAATACCTTGGGTTGTCTACTATTGCAAATGGTATGCCATCATAGGGGTAATTTTCATTCTTGGGCTACCATAGGGTCTCAAAGGCAACGTAACCAATCTGGCGAATTTTAATGTGAAAAAAATGAAACACAAGCCTTATATTAGATGCTGTAAGTTTTGAAAACACCATAAAACCTGTACATGATGGGGTACTGTTGTACTCGGGAGACTTCGCTGAACACAAATATTTGTGTTTTAAAACAGTAAAAAGTATCACAGCAATAATATCATCCGTGTAAGTGCTGTTTGTGTGTGAAAAATGCAAAAAACTTCACTTTTACTGGCGATATCATTGTTGTAATACATTTTACTGTTTTGAAACACTAATATTTGTGTTCAGCGAAGTCTCCTGAGTAGAACAGTACCCCCCATGTACAGGGTTTATGGTGTCTTGGAAAGTTATAGGGTTAAATATAGTGCTAGCAAATTAAATTCCCTTTACTTTCGGCATGGGTTGTCAGGCAGGTCCCGCTAATTGTAATTAATTAAGATACCTAATTATGTAAAAATATAACATAAATATATATGTAGAATTAATATATGTATATATTTATGTATGTGAATCTATATGTGTATATATATATAATTTTTTTTAAATATTTTTATTTATATATCGGTATATATATAGTGATATATTTGTATTTATTTATGTATATAGATATATATATTATTTCGTTCTACATGTATTTTGATATAAATATATATATATATATATATATATATATATATTAATATCACAATACAGTTAGAACTAAATAACATATATATATATATTTTCTTTACACTTTATTAATTTTATTTTATTTTATTTCCAGCCAGCAGGGGGACCACCTGTCATTACAGGCAGCCCCCCTGCTGGCAATGCAGCAGGCAGCTATCCCGGCCATGTGATTGTGAGGTCCTCGCAAGGACCTCACTCTCACATGGGCAGGGGGCTGCCAGGAGGAAGATCTGTTGCGGGGGGGGGCTTCCTGGGAGTCCCTCCAACCGTGGGACCGCCGGCGACCGGGTAAGTAATGAAAGACCGAAGCCGCCTATATATATATATAATAATTCTACCTATGTATTTATGTAATAATTTTACATAATTAGGTCATAATTAGGTCATTTTATTAATTACAATTTGCAGGACCTGCCTGACAACCCAGGCCGAAAGTTCAGGGAATTTAATTTGCCAGCACTATATTTAACCCTGTAACTTTCCAAGACACCATAAAACCTGCACATGGGGGTACTGTTCTACTCGGGAGACTTCACTGAACACAAATATTAGTGTTTCAAAACAGTAAAATGTATTACAACGTCGATATCGTCAGTGACAGTGAAATTATTTGCATTTTTCACACACAAACAGCACTTACACTGACGATATAATTGTTGTGATACATTTTACTGTTTTGAAACACTATTTGTGTTCACTAAAGTCTCCCGAGTATAACAGTACCCCTCAATTAGTTTTTTGCATTCTCAAATATTAACACTAACTTTGGCCAGTGTTTGTGACCAAGTGGCTACCACAAAAGACTGGACATTTGCAATACCTTGGGTTGTCTACTTTTGCAAATGGTATGCCATCATGGGGGTAATTCTTATTCCTGGACTACCATATGGTCTCAAAGGCAACGTAACCAATCTGGCGAATTTCAATGTGAGATATCGCTGAATACAAATATGTGTATTTTATTGCAGCAAAAGCAAAGAGTATTTTGACATTCACAGTTAAAATGTCATGTAGAACTAAGAAAATTTAACAAAAAAATCTTATTTTCTCCCAATTTTTTTATATTTTATTCATATTAAATTATGTTCCATACCTAAATATTTGATGTTAAATGAAAGCCCTGTTTCTCCTGAATAAAATGATATATAATAAGTGTGGGTGCATTTAATATGAAAGAGGTGAATTACGGTTGGACAGACATGTAGCGCAAATGCCAGGTTTTGTTTACGTTTTGTTTTGATCACAACTTGTACATTTGGCTGCGGTCTTAAGGGGTTAAATATAGTCTCCTCCTTTACTGTGTTGATTCCCTTTATGTATTTAAATGTTTCTGTCATATCCCCCCATATCCTTTCACACACCAACTCTCCATGGACAAAAAACACTGATGCTCTGTAGCAACATTAGTAAATGTTGTGCAAAATAAACATTATGGTATGCCCAACGTCTCCTGTAGTAGTAGTAGAGGCACTCTCGGCACCATAACCACTACATCACGCTAGAGTAATTATGCTGCTTGAAGCTTCCTTTATATTTAATCTACAACTTCCTCAAATCTTTTTAATCCACTTAATGTTGTTTAATACATGGGTTCTAGAATTATAGTGACTGATACAAGATATTCCATCACTTAAACCCATTTTATTTACTTTTCTTCTTTTAATTTCCCTAATAAACATGCCTTGTACTTTAAGAGATATGGCCTATTCTGGGAGACACTTGATAAGGTTATTGTCGCCATTACGCATGATTGACTGCTTAGGGGTATCTATAAAATTTAATTGTGGGCGCTATAAAAAAAAACAGCGGCTTCATTCTTAAATGGCTACTACCATGAATAAAACAACTCTGGAGAATTGCTGAGTGCTTACCCTGCAGAATAATTAGCTCAGTACTACTATTCAGGTATGGAGGGCACTGCAGCAATTTGAAATGTTCTTGGCTAATGTACGTTGCCTAAGCAACCCTGATTTACTTGGATTGCTGACTTTTTATGGGTGCGTTAACGGCCTACTTAGTGATGTAAATAAAGCAATACCTTTCTAAAAATGTATGTCTTATGTTAATTATAGATGATCAGGCCTTGGGGTTGTTGTTTAAAAATGTAATGAAGATAATTATTTGGATATAGTATGTATGTGTATACACAGACACACACACAAGCAATGAATAGCATTTTTGAACTGTGGATCCGCGGTATGAGTAATTACACAGATTTTGTTCTGTTTTTGCTATGTGTCGTAGATGTTCTTCAGAAATGTGCGGTTTGTGCGTAAGAAACGCCGCTGAGACGGAAAGAAGGCTTCACAGCTGAGCAACAGCTGGAG